GGTATGTTATCTTTCTCGACTCTTCAATATGATAGCACAATTTCTCTTTAGCAGTTATCTCTTCTTTATCAGATTCCATTCCCTGAATAATTTGATCTGATCCATCTGGTACTGAATCTGACGCTTCTTTCTTTATATCACGAGGTAACCCTGTCAATTGTTCTGGCCACTGGTCTTGTAGTCCATTATAAGATTGCTCCATTGTTTTCATGATGATAATATAGTAATATAAATGAATGGTCTTGGTTTTTACTGTTACAAAACCTTTCATGAATTATTTACATGTTTTTATAATTAAAGTACATAACAATACTTTAAATAAAAATGTGAAAAATGCATAAATGGAAAAATAAGAATGCAAAATGTGCATTTCAAAGGCAAACATAAAGGTATGAATGCAAAATGAAAAATGCAAAGATGCAAAATGAAAATGCATGTATGAAAAGGTGTTTCTCAAGAGTGATCATCTTAGAACAGATTTCATTGAACACAAAAGTTTCGATACATCAAACAAAACTTTTACATGTAGGGGACAACTTTTAGTCCTAGCTTTACATATAGGGAATAACTTTCTTATTTTCTTCTCTAAAACCAAGTTAGTTTATCAGCTTATGAGCCATATTGCTTGTCTGGACTGCAGCTTCTTCCATGACATTCTGGTGTTCTTTCATCTCCTATGTCAATTCTCGGAGTTGCTCATTTTCCCTTGTGAGAGAACATTTGTGTTCAAAAAGTTTTTGGACAAGATCTTCATGTATGTTGCAACTTTTTTTCAGTTTGGTGACCCCTGCTATCCACTCTTCTGGGGTGTTTCCTATACCAGCATTTTGAAAGGCTTGACTGACCTTCTAGAAATCTTCATGTATGGTTTCCATTTTGGTGCTCAATTTATCGTTTTCAATCTTCAAATGACGTATTTGAGCTTCAAACCTCAGCAAATCTTCTTCTCTCTGGGCGCCCCTACTGATATTCTTATCTTTGAAGACTTTTGGTATTAATCTATCAGGACCCTCGGTTACCAAACTAGGTCGATCATTTACCATAAATTGTAAGGTTCCATGATCCAAAAGACTTTGGACTCGGCGTTTGAAGGCAAGACAATTCTCGATGGTATGTCCTTGAGCTCCGACATGATATTCACAATGAACGTTGATGTTATACCAATTTGGATACGGAGCTTGGAACGGTTTTATATAATATGGATCCACTTCTCGTGCTTCAAGTAACTTTTCATACAACTCTTTATATGATATAGGTATAGCATCAACATGAGAATCGCCTTTTGTCTTGAGTTGAACCTGAGTTTTAGATATCGGGAGCATACTAAACTTCGATGATTTCAGGTTACATGATTTCTTCTCTTCTCTGGAAGCTTTTACAATTGTCATCATTTCTTTGGTATCTCCAGATGACTTGTGAATACGGATGATGATTGTCTGTAACTTCTCCAATTGATTAGGATCAGAAGTCCCTTGCATATTTGAGATTGCAGGATTATGTTCATTAAGCTTTCTCTCTTTCTGTGCAGGAATCTCTTCTCTTTTGGCCAAAACAGATATTCTATCCATCATCTTGGACATCTGCTCTCTTATTTCTCGTATCTCCTCTTTCTCCTTAATGGACACATGATCTCTAGGTGCATAGCTCTCTTCTATCCTCGGAGTTTCCTCAGGATGTCTTTTCTTGGCCGCATCATATTTTGTTTGATCATAGAACTTTTTGTCCATTTACGATTTCTTTCCAATATGATGAACAGTCTTTCAAGTAAACACCTTTTTGGTTATTCTATGATCATGCAATGCAAACAAAAGAAATGAGAAAAAATAAAATAGTTAGTACCAACTAATAAAAAATCTATCTATCAAGGTATAAATCTTAACCTCATGCTTTCTAGTTCCATGTTTTGTTAGGAAAAATTAACCTAACCGTATGATTTTTAGTTCGCATGCATTTATTCAGAAAAAATAATAAATTAAAAACTAAAACTTATTTCTCCTTTGTGTATACCTATGGAAATGGTTTCAGTATTGTCTTAGATTAGGAGAATTTCTAGGGTTTATTATATGCAAGTTTTTAGTTCTAGGAGTAAAGGTACTCGAACTGTCCCTGTTGATGCCCCCTTGGGCTGTTAACCCTCAATCCTAGTCCATCATAGACTAAAGTGGATCGAGTTCAATTCGAGGGGATACATTTCTCTATGCCTGACACGGAGACTAAATTCTCACGAAGACATAGAGCATATGAACCCCGAAAGTTACTTGCTAGGTCTGACACGGAGAATAAATTCTCACGAAGACGTCGCTTTCACTTCCACTTAAAAGGGACAAACTCAATTATAGAGCTTTATGTTATGCAAGTGTTGTGTGTGAGGAGAAATGTTCAAACCTCTGACAGAAAAATAAATAATAAAATACTTGTAAATAATGAAATATTAATAAGAAAATATATAAATACCATGAAAATAATAAGTATATAAAAAATTCGAAAAGAAAGAATTATAAATCAAATATATGAATTTTTTAATTTATAATTAATAGAGACAATTTATAATTGATTTTAAAAGTTTGACCAGTCCCTAGCAGAGTCGCCAAGCTGTCGTAACCGGTTTTCGCCCGGGCACGAATTTTTTACTTGGCGGGAAAAGTGAGGTGAATAAATGGTTTTGAAAATAATTTGGGAGTCACCATCGGCCTTTTGGGTCAGGTAGGTCGAATACCTAAAAAATATATTTTAAAAGAATTTTTAAGAAAACATCAATTAAAAGATAAACTGATCTGCGTTTTAACCAAAAATTCGTTCTTTTTAATAATAAAAAGGGATTCGTGGTCGGTTACGTTTAGGGAAGGATTAGCACCCCTACGACGCCCAAAATTGATACTTTTTAATTATAAATTGTCTCTATTATTAGAAATTTAAAAATTTAAAATATATTTATTTCATAATTATGTTATTTCAAATAATTTAAAGAAAATATATTAATATGTATAAAATATTTATTTATTTAGAAATATCAGAAAAGGGCTTCTAGGTGCTTTAAGACAACTCTTTTCTTCGATATTAATAAATAAATAACTAAAAAAACATTTTTTTTCTAAAAAATAATTAATATATACTTTATAAAAAACATGATATTTATTTATTTAAGAATATCAGAAAAGAACTTCTAGGTGCTTTAAGACAGCTCTTTTCTTTGATATTAATAAATAAATATTAAAAATGTAATAATTTTTCATAAAAATGATTTAAATAAATTATAATTTTTATAATATTATATTTATAAGACTAAGATAATAATAAAATAATAATTAAAGCCATAATTAAAATATAAGAGTGATAACAAAATAATATTGTAATTAAATAATGATCAAAATAAAAGAAATTAAAATTATAAAACTAAATATAAAGTATAAAAAATAAAGATAATAATTTGAAATATTATGAAAGATAATGATTAATAGTGTAATTTAACCTAATTAATTAATACGGGATTAAAATAAAAAATACTAAACTATAAGGGACTAAATTTGATATTTACCTATATATATATATATATATATATGTTAATAAGGACTAAATTAAAATAAAATAAAATTAGAAGACTAAATTAAAATAATCAAAAATTGCTTTTAGTGACTAAATTAAAAGGTATACAAATTTGGAGTACTGCGGACGGGGTTTACCCTTTATGAAATTACAGAAATACCCTCCCCAAAACGACGTCGTTTGGGGAGGGTTTTTAAATACCCAATCGGCCGGCCCTTATGTGCCATTTTTCTCATTTCTTTCTTTTCTTTCTTTCTCTGAGAGAGAAAACTCTCTCTGCTCTCTCTAAACTCTCTCCCCGGAGAGAGAGCTGACCACCGGCCGGCAACCATGATCCGCCACAAGTTTCGCCGTCGGTGGCCGGAAATTCCCAAATTTACCTAAAATATAGATCTAAACGCCCTAAGACCGATTCCGGTCTTTTGTTTTCCCTAAAAACCCTTAGGTTCCTGTAGATCTAATTTTTTTACCTCCGAACTTTTGATTCCACGGTGGTTCTACGGTGGTTCGGCAGCTCTTCGATGGTGAGTTTCTTCTCCGTTTCTCTCATTCTGTCTTTCGTTTTCTTTGGATATGGTTGCTCTCGTCGTTACTGTGTTGTGTCTTGCTGGGTATCTTTGTCGTTGTTTTCTCTGGTCTGTTGGTTGCTGTCTTCGTTCTTTTCTTCCTCTCTTTTTTCTCGTCTTGCAGGTGATGGCTTTATAGCCTCGATGAGGCTCTCGTCGGACCGGTTACAAGGGTGTAAGGCTCGGTGAGTCACCAAAGCTATGCTGGTGACTCACCATAGAGGCGACGTGTGCGGCTGTTATCATGGCAACAAAGCTTCTGGAGGCTTCTGGCGAGGGTGTGGCATTGGTGGAGCGTTGGCAGTGGCATTGGCAGCTGCTGGTTGGGTCACTTGGCAGTGGAGGCGTGGCAATGGGCGTCGGCACGGAGGTGGTGGCGACAGCGGCGGCCGCGTGGTCCCTAGGGTATTATAACCCTAGGGTTTCTTGTTGTAAAACTTTGGACCGTTGGATCTTGCCAGATCCAACGGTGGAGATCGTCTGGCGGCTGGGGATGAGATGGAAACCCTAAAAGGATTCTGCTAGGCCTGGACTAGATTGGGCCGGTTTTAGTTGTGTAAAACGGGCCTGATTATTGGGCTCCGGGTTTTGTAATTATTTATTAAATAATAATAATATATAATATTAATATTAATAATAAATAATAATAATAATAATAATAATAATAATAATTTTAATAATAATAATAAATTTAAATGAAAAAATTGATGTCTACGCTATGCATTGTACGTCAAAAACACATGCCCAGTTCCTTACTCAAAAAAACAAAACAAAATAATCAAACCGTTTTCCAGTTTATCCATCTGTAAATTCCATTTAGGTCTCAAATATCATTATAATAATGTTTATCTCACTCGTATTTAAACACCAACATTCGGTCCATCAAAAAACATACGCCAAAGAGAAACACTAAAAAAGAAGAGAGATTTTGAGTTTCAGAGATGGAGAAACAGAGCAATACACAAAAAACTTCTTGGACAAAAGGGAAGTTCATAGGAAGAGGCTCCTTTGGTACCGTAAGCTTGGCAATCAACGAAACCAACGGCGACGTTTTCGCTGTCAAGTCCGTCGATTTAGCAACGTCTCTTCCCAACCAGTTGGAGTGTTTAGAGAACGAAATTAGGACCCTCCATTCACTCTCCTCCCCTTACGTGGTTAAGTATCTCGGCGATGACGTTACTCCGGCGGATTCTTCCCGGAATCTTCACTTGGAGTACATGTCAGGCGGCACCGTTTCTGACGAGGCGAATGTTAAACGCCGGTTGGCTGACGTGGACGAAAGGGTCCTGCGGTGGCACACGCGCTGCTTGGTTTCGGCTTTGAAGTACTTGCACGGTGAAGGCATTGTGCACTGTGACGTGAAAGGGATAAATGTTTTGCTGGACTCGGATTCCACTTCCGTAAAGCTCGCGGATTTCGGCTCCGCGATTGCGATTAAAAAGGAAAGCGCGGGAGACATTCCTATTCATCCGATCAAGCCACGTGGAAGCCCTCTATGGATGGCGCCCGAGGTAATTCGCGGAGAGTATCAAGGGCCGGAGAGTGATGTTTGGTCCTTGGGATGCACCGTCGTCGAGATGATCACAGGGAAGCCAGCTTGGGGAGATCAGGGTTTCGACTCGCTATGTCGAATTGCTAACTCGGATGAATTGCCCGAGTTACCGACTCAGCTATCTGATCTCGGCAAGGATTTCGTGGAGAGGTGTTTGAGAAGGGACCCAAATCGAAGGTGGAACTGCGATCAGCTGCTGCAGCATCCATTCGTAGCGTCGGCTTCGCCGCCCAAAACGATCGGCGAATCATCTCCGCGTTGCGTGATCGATTTCCCGAGTTCTGATTTCGACGAAAAACCGGCGAGTTTGGAATGGTCGGCGAGGGAGAGGATTGGTAAATTGGCAGGGGAAGGAGGGGTAATTTGGGAATCGGATGGCTGGGCGACGGTGAGGAGTTACTCTATTGAATCACGTGTGAATTGCGAGGAAGGGACAAGTGAGGAATATCCGGAGTGGATGAGGACGAGTTTGGAAATGTCCAATTGTTTCGAGACCGGTATTAGCAATAGCGGCAACTCGGTGGACCGGCAGTGCGGCGACATCGAGTGTGTGGAAGGGGTAAAATCGTCATTTGAGGATCTACGGTGCAGGTGGTTGGCTGAATCGAGCTGCAGGTATGGGTTTGCGGTGAAGGGGAGGTTGAGATTCAACAGATTCTGTAATTTATTACATTTAATATTATTGGACTTATTTTATTATTTACTCAAAGTTTTGAAAGCCAAATCGACCATTCTTTTTGAAACGGAAAAAGGGAAATTCATGATTTAGCAGTCATTACAGGAATATTCTCCAATTTTCTATTCTGGATTTACACAGAAATTTAAGGCATGGCCATAGGCCACTAACGTCACTAATGACGTGTAAAACTAAAATGTTCTTGTAGCATCAAAATCCAACACCTACGCTGATAAGCTTTGGGGGGATTGAGAAGACACATAAAAGATGGAATCTCAGGGATATAACCACCAACTCCATTATTTTATTGTTATTTTTTGATTGCACCTATCCTTATCCATTAAGAAACAACTCCAATGAGTTATTAACAATGAAGGAGAATCTTCTTTTTAATTAACTGTTTTGTTCCGGAGTGGGGATGTTTCCTCTTCACGTTGATATTTTCAAATATGTTTGGTTTTGTCGTTTGAAGCTTCCCACGAATTTGCTTTGCCTCTATCGTGTTCCCTTCGTCTTCTGGGAGCTTCAATGCAGGTCTAATAATAATTTCATACATCGGATAACACTAAGATAACTATATATTTTTTATAACCCTCTATCCCTGTTCCCTAAACCCTTAATTAATTATCTTCATTTAAAGAGTTAATTATATTAAAAGTCTTTAAATTATTATTCAAGTTCTAAATTGATTATTAATTTATCAATATTATATTTTTATTTCATTGTAATCACCAGGGTGACCTCAGATATAATGAGAAACATATTTAAAACATGTCCATCAAATTTTTATTATTGTGTACCTACAGCACAAGCCTCTTTGATATGATTCGTTTAGAAAAGGAAATAGTCTTACCAAATTTTAACGATACAATTTTTTTTAAATGTCAAATCCAAATTATATATATGCGTAAGATATACTTATTATTTAAAAAATGATCCATATATTTTAAATGTGATTCACATTATATTCAGCAAACTTTGAACACTTGAGCAAATGACAAAAGTAGGGGAAAATGACATGGAGATGAGGTTCATGGTCCCTGGAACGCGTGGCTGAACAGTTACGTGGAAATTTGCAAAACGAAAAGCCAAGGAAGGATGTCAGATTCCTTAATAGGATTCGAAGCTTCCCACGAATTTGCTTTGCATTGAAGGTTCAATGTGTTCAGTTGAAACAGAGCACAATTTCTGGAATACTGGGTGCATATTTCCATTATTCACCCTCATCATCAGCATGTGCAAAAACACAGATCTAGGTTGAACAATTGGCCTTCCACCCGATCCGAATCCGACCCCTTTTTTTGAGATAAAATCCGAACCCAACTCGAAATAATATATTTATTAAAAATATTATTTTTATTTAATAAAAATAGAGATTTAATTGAAAGAAAATAAAATATAGAGGGTTATTATTGTAATTATCCCTAACTATATAAGGTAAAATTATAATTTTTTTTCAAATCGAGTTTTTTCACCCTTAACTCGATAACCTATAAAAATCCTGACCCGATATGAACCCAATTTTTTTTTAAAAATCCGACCCAATATGTCGAATCAAATCAGGTCAAAAACCCGTTGGATTCGGATTTAATACCCATCTCTCGTACATTCATCAAACTTGATCGCACGGCAATCTCTAGGGGAGACCCGAAAATAGTTATTATACCCTAATAATGTTAAATAAAACCTATATATATATATTGTAAGTGTTGTATCATATATTATCCAAGAAACTGAAACAACTAAAAAAGGACGTATACAAGCTGTGGAAGAGGTTCTACATAAACTATAGATTCTCCCAATCAATAGACAATCGTATATTTATTATATCCTTCGTATCTATACAATGACCAGAGATGAAGTTAGGATCAAATGTTAAGTGAAAAAAATTATTTTATATCAAAATAATAAGAATCTATTAAGTATTTAAATATAAAAATTAGACAAATACCTTATTAACTAATATTTTAGTAAAAAATGACTTAAAATGTCGTTATATAAATTTTTTGGGATGGGCAATAGGCAGCCCCCTCCTCACTACTATGTAGCTTCGTCCCTAACAATGACTATATAATTTAATATGAACAATCTCCTTTATTATGCAACAATATCATTTATCGAACGAGCAGTCCTTTGAAATGCTTGTGATTACGTTTCTTCCAAACGCAATACACAAAATCAATTCATGCAAGCTTCAGAACAATGAGAGTTTTCCTCTTCAGAACATTTGATGCAGTTGAAAAGCTTGCTTTCTTTCCTTCCAAATACTGAGAGTAAGAATACTGAAGAGAATGAGTGATTAATAGACTCTTTAGCAACACTGCAAAAGGTGTAAAACACACAACAGGGCCTAAGGATATTATAGGCCTTACGGCCCAAAACCAAAGAGTAGAATACATGTTTTTTTTTATCCTAGGGGTGTTCAACAAACATAAGGATATCACAAATAGTGCTAGATGTAAAGCATGTGTCTATCTTAAAATTTTAGTTGTGTCTACCTCATATTAAAATTTTCAATAATTAATATGTGTGTGCCCACCCTAAAAAATATTTCTAGATCTGATACTAATCACAAAGGTAATTTAGTAGGTAGTATTGTTCAAAGACACTCGATCATTTGACAATGAACGTTCAATCATTGACATATGTATAATATATATATATATATATATATATATATAATATCAACTATTTAATAATTTTGGTTAATTCGGTTAATTAACCAAATTAACCGGTAACCAATTTTTTTTTAAAATAACCATAACCAAATTAATATTAAATTAACTGATCGATTAATCAAATTAAATTTAACTCGATCGATTAATTTAATTAAAACTTAACGATAAACATTCCTATCTATTTGGATAGAGGTTCATGGTTTTCTTAAAAGCTGTATTTTCTTTTGTACTTAGTCTATCATATTATACGATAAACAACGATTTAAAACATTTGGGTACTTTAGAACTTATAACAAAAGATACATTATGATTGTTAAAAGCCAAGACGTGGTAAGAAATTAGTAGTGTAATAAATTAGTTGTGCGGTTAATATATAAATTAGGCAAGAAAATGATATATACCAAAACCCTGGCTATCAATGAATATCGAAATATACATGCAAATATGATACTTATACAATTAACTATAATCAACTGATAGGATTTCATTAAATATACAAGTAATGATTATGTCACTGAAAATAATATATATATAAACTAACATATTTGTTGTTAAAAAAATAAAACGTATTTAATGATATCTAGATGCTTATAAAGAAAATCTATCCAAAGCCTCTGCCTTTTTCCTGTGAGGTTTTCTTGATCAGATGTTTTAGATTTGTGCTGTCATTTTCAAGGTATTAGGATGTAGAAACTCATCGCATTTTATTAGTTATTTAATAATGTTCAATTAACATAATCACAAGCATTTGATTCAATAATTCATGTGTTTATCTTCCCATGCTTTTGTTCAAAATGTAATCAGTTATGTAGGTTGAATACACTTGGAATTTTGCGACTGATATCTGCACTATTTCTCTGAACACAGGTTTTTGTTGTTGATTCTGATAATCTCACTTCCGTCCAACTTAAACATGGCGAAATCTTAGGTAAGGAATTGAGCCCTTAAGCATTGTGATAAGAATCAACAAATACAAAATGTGCTTGTAACCAGTGATGTACCGTCTTCCATGAAAATTTCAAATTCTAATATATTTTAGATATTCTATTTATGTTTTATCGATAATCTATTTTCGAGCCCTAAAATTTTATAAGTTTACATCTAGCATAAAATCTTACGTTCGTTCCAGTTTGAGATTCTTAACCAAATCGAGATTCATAGCCAGTGCTTCGGTTGTAGACAAATTTTAGCTTTTACATATGCTGGTGTTTTTTGATTATGTCCTTTTAAGAACTATCACCACACCAAGAAATGTTAGCATGATGTTAACATGATGAGTCAGTAACAATGTTGTTAGTACTGCATGTGATTATTAGTTGAATAATTAGAAGCTTCTTAATGTTGTTAATAGCAGTTAAGGTTGTTAGGTTGTTAGCATGGTTAGTTGTGAAATCTGTTAAGACTTACATTAGTCATTAGAAGTTGTATATAAACAACAACAGCCTTGTATTCTATATAGTTCTTTTACACAATCAATACACAAGTGTTATACTTTCTTTACTGGATACTTGCTGCTCATCTCTTATTCATGCTCACCTTGTCATTGATGGCCCCTTTCTCACATGGTATTATTCGCCAAACGATTATGGAGCCACAGTAACTGCTTTCGCCGCCGTTAATGACTGTATCTCAGAGTTTTTGATGGTCTTGTTATCGGTCATCTTTCGACTCAGTTGTGTGTTGTTTGAGTTGAATATTTGCAGATTCAATTTGGTAACTTCAGACTTGAATTCTTGGTTTTTTTTTTCCTGTTATTGGTTAGAGATTGAGATTCGTTCTTGAGTTTTGGTTTCTGCGTTTGTTTGTTGCTGGAATTTCGCTTAGTTTGTTTGGTTGGGTTTGAAATTTACTAAAATTTACGTCGTTCTTTTTCTCAATTACTGATTTCCTCTTTCTCTATCAACGTCACATATCTTTGATCTGGAAATCATCTCTTGAAACCCTAGCTGTTAGCACCTCTTATTTCTCCTATATTTTCTCGTTCTTTTTCATATTCTTTTAGTCGACACAACAAAAGGAAAAGAAGTAATGGCCGGTAAAGGAGAAGGTCCATCTATCGGAATCGATCTCGGAACCACTTATTATTGCGTCGATGTTTGGCAACACGATCGTGTTGAGATCATCGCCAATGATCAAGGTAACAGGACGACGCTTCTTATGTTGGTTTTACCGACACCGAACGTTTGATAGGCGATGCAGTGAAAAATCAAGTCGCTATGAATCCCATCAATACTGTCTTCGATGCAAAGAGATTGATTGGACGTAGATTCAGTGATTCCTCTGTTCAGAGTGATATGAAACTATGTCCATTCAAGGTCATTGCTAGACCTGGTGACAAACCAATGATTGTTATTACTTACAAGGGTGAAGAGAAACAATTTGCTGCTGAGGAGATCTCTTCAATGGTACTCATAAAGATGCGTGAAATTACTGAGGCTTACCTTTAAACTATAGTTAAGAATGTGTGGTTACCGTCCCTGTATACTTCACTGACTCTTAGCGTCAGGCAACAAAGGATGTTGGTGTCATTGCTGGTCTTAATGTCATGTGTATCATCAATGAACCCACAGTTACGGCTATTGCTTATGGTCTTGACAAGAAGGCTACCAGTGTTGACAAAAAGAATGTATTGATCTTTGATCTTGGTGGTGGTATTTTTTATGTCTCTCTTCTAACCATTGAAGAGGGTATCTTTGAAGCGAAAGCCACTGCTGGGGACACTCACCTTGGAGGTGAAGATTTTGATAACAGAATGGTGAACCACTTTGTTCAGGAGTTTAAGAGAAAGAACAAGGAGTTACCATTGCTCGGGGTGAGTGGAAACAAATTTTGTATAGGTTGCCATTGGAAACAAATTTTGTTCAAACTAGTTTCTTGTGGATGTGTTGCACGGTGTTGCATTACTGGTTATTTTGGATTGTTCATCATCATGATTTTTTGCTTATATCTCAAAGTGTCATGAGACTTGAAAGCTTCAAATCCAAGTGTCAATGGGAAAAAATATCAAAGAACCTTGTATAAGAGGATGAAGAATAAAGAAATGAAGGTGAATAAGAAGAACAAAAGAAAGCATCGCACTTCCGATTCAAGTCGAACGTAATGAAGCATTGCCACTTTCGATTCAAGTCTAACGGAAGGAGGCATTGACACTTCTGATTCAATTCGAACCGAAAGAGGCATCGACACTTCTGATTCAAGTCGAACGGAAGAAGCATCGGCACTTCCGATTCAAGTCGAACGGAAGGTAGCATCGTCACTTATGATTTAAGTCAACAGAATGAAGCATCGACACTTCCGATTCAAGTCGAACGGAAGGAGGCATCGACATTTCTGATTCAAGTTGAACGGAAGGATGTATCACACTTTCATTTCAAGTGTTCGTCTTTTCATCAAGAAGCGCATCAAGTGGCTAATGGTTTTACTACACCCTTGGCTAAAACAACATTTGAAGTTTTTCGATAGAAGATTGGAGTTCAAGGATGTTCACAATTAGAATAGCATAAGAAGAAGTAGAGGGAATGTTTGCATGATGTTAATATGATGAGTCAGCAACAATGCGGTTAGTACTACATCGTGTTTGAGCTTAGACTGCATGAGATTATTAGTTGAATAGTTAGAAGCTTCTTAATGTTGTTAATAGCAGTTAAGGTTGTTAGATTGTTAGCATGGTTAGTTGTGAAATTTGTTAAGACTTACATTAGTCATTAGAAGCTGTATATAAACAACAACAGCTTTGTATTCTACATAGTTCTTTTACACAATCAATACACAAGTGTTATACTTTCTTTACTGGATACTTACTGCTCATCTCTTATTCATGCTCACCTTGTCATTGATGGCCCCTTTCTCACATGGTATCATTCGTCGAACGATTCTGGAGCCACAATAACTTCTTTCGCCACCATTAATGACCGTATCTCAGAGCTTTTGCTGGTCTTGTTTTTAGTCATCTTTCCAACTCAGTCAAAGATTTGCATATTCAATTTGGTAACTTCAGACTTGAATTCTTGGTTTTTTTGTTATTGGTTAGGGATAAAGATTCGTTCTTGAGTTTTGGTTTTTGCGTTTGATTGTTGCTAGAATTTTGCTTAGTTTATTTGGTTGGGGTTTAAAACTTGCTAAAATTTGCGTCGTTCTTATTCTCAATTGTTGATTTCCTCTTCTCTATCAACGTCACATATCTTTGATCTGGAAATCATCTCTTGAAACCCTAGCTGTTAGCACCTCTTATTTCTCCTATATTTTCTCGTTTTTTTCATATTCTTTTAGTCGACACAACAAAAGGAAAAGAAGTAATGGCCGGTAAAGGAGAAGGTCCAGCTATCGGAATCGATCTCGGAACCACTTATTATTGCGTCGATGTTTGGCAACACGATCGTGTTGAGATCATCGCCAATGATCAAGGTAACAGGACGACGCCTTCTTATGTTGGTTTTACCGACACTGAACGTTTGATAGGCGATGCAGTGAAAAATCAAGTCGCTATGAATCCCATCAATACTGTCTTCGATGCAAAGAGATTGATTGGACGTAGATTCAGTGATTCCTCTGTTCAGAGTGATATGAAACTATGTCCATTCAAGGTCATTGCTAGACCTGGTGACAAACCAATGATTGTTGTTACTTACAAGGGTGAAGAGAAACAATTTGCTGCTGAGAGATCTCTTCAATGGTACTCATAAAGATGCGTGAAATTACTGAGGCTTACCTTTAAACTATAGTTAAGAATGTTGTGGTTACGTCCCTGTATACTTCACTGACTCTTAGCGTCAGGCAACAAAGGATGTTGGTGTCATTGCTGGTCTTAATGTCATGCGTATCATCAATGAACCCACAGTTACGGCTATTGCTTATGGTCTTGACAAGAAGGCTACCAGTGTTGACAAAAAGAATGTATTGATCTTTGATCTTGGTGGTGGTATTTTTTATGTCTCTCTTCTAACCATTGAAGAGGGTATCTTTGAAGCGAAAGCCACTGCTGGAGGTGAAAATTTTGATAACAGAATGGTGAACCACTTTGTTCAGGAGTTTAAGAGAAAGAACAAGAAGGAGTTACCATTGCTCGGGGTGAGTGAAACAAATTTTGTACGGGTTGCCATTGGAAACAAGTTTTGTTCAAACTAGTTTTTTGTGGATGTGTTGCATGGTGTTGCATTACTAGCTATTTTGGATTGTGCATCATCATGATTTGTTGCTTCTATCTCAATGTGTCATGGGACTTGAAATCTTTACATCCAAGTGTCCATGGGAGAAATACCAAGGAACCTTGTATAAGAGGATGAAGGAAGAAATGAAGGTGAATAAGAAGAACAAAAGAAAGTATCGCACTTTCGATTCAATTCAAATTGAAGGAAGCATTGACACTTTCGATTCAAGTCGAATGGAAGGAGGCATCGACACTTCTGATTCAAGTCGAATGGAAATAGGCATCGACACTTTCGATTCATGTCGAACGGAAGTAAGCATAGGCAGTTCCGATTCAAGTCGAACAGAAGGAAGCATGGACACTTCTGATTCAAGTCGAACGGAAGAAGGCATCGACACTTCCGATTCAAGTCAAACGGAAGGAGGTATCGACCCTTCCGATTCAAGTTGAACGGAATGATGTATCGCACTTTCATTTCAAGTGTTCGTCTTTTCATCAAGTAGCGCATCAAGTGGCTAATGGTTTTACTACACCCTTGGCTAAAACATCATTTGAAGTTTTTCAATAGAAGATTGGAGTTCAAGGATGTTCACAGTCAGAAGAGCATAAGAGTAAGTAGAATGAATGTTTGCATGATGTTAACATGATGAGTCAGCAACAATGCGGTTTGTACTACATCGTGTTTGAGCTTAAACTGTATGAGATTATTAGTTGAATAGTTAGAAGCTTCTTAATGTTGTTAATAGCAGTTAAGGTTGTTAGATTGTTAGCATGGTTAGTTGTGAAATCTGTTAAGACTTACATTAGTCATTAGAAGCTGTATATAAACAACAACAACCTTGTATTCTACATAGTTCTTTTACACAATCAATACACAAGTATTATACTTTATTTACTGGATACTTGTTGCTCATATATTATTCATGCTCACCTTGTCATTGATGGCCCCTTTCTCACATGGTATTATTCGCCGAACGATTCTGGAGTCACAATAACTGCTTTCGCCGCCATTAATGATTGTATCTCAGAGCTTTTGTTGGTCTTGTTATTAGTCATCTTTCCGATTCAGTTGTGTGTTGTTTGAGTCAAAGATTTGCAGATTCAATTAGGTAACTTCAGACTTGTATTCTTGGTTTTTTTTGTTATTGGTTAGGGATTGAGATTCGTTCTTGAGTTTTTGTTTCTACTTTTGTTTGTTGCTAGAATTTCGTTTAGTTTGTTTGGTTGGGGTTTGAAACTTGTTGAAATTTGCGTCGTTCTTCTTCTCAAGTGTCGATTTCCTCTTTCTCTATCAACGTCACATATCTTTGATATGGAAATCATCTCTTGAAACCCTAGCTGTTAGCATATTTTTTTCTCCTACCTTTTTTCATTATTTTTTATATTCTTTTAGTCGACACAACAAAAAGAAAAGAAGTAATGGCCAGTAAAGTAGAAGGTCCAACTATCGGAATCGATCTCGGAACAACTTATTCTTGCGTTGGTGTTTGGCAACACGATCGTGTTGAGATCATCGCCAATGATCAATGTAACACGACGAAGCCTTTTTATGTTGGTTTTACCGACACCGAACGTTTGATAGGCGATGCAGCGAAAAACCAGGTCACCATGAATCCCATCAATATTGTCTTCGATACAAAGAGATTAATTGGATGTAGATTCAGTGATTCCTCTGTTCAGAGTGATATGAAACTATGGCCATTCAAGGTCATTGCTGGACCTGGTGACAAACCAATGATTGTTGTTTCTTACAAGGGTGAAGAGAAACAATTTGATGCTGAGGAGATCTCTTCAATGGTACTCATAAAGATGCGTGAAATTGCTGAGGCTTACCTTGGGTCTACAGTTAATAATGTTGTGGTTACCGTCCCTGCATACTTCACTGACTCTCAGCATCAGACAACAAAGGATGCTGGTGTCATTGTTGGTCTTAATGTCTTGCGTATCATCAATGAACCAACAGCTGCAACTATTGCTTATGGTCTTGACAAGAAGGCTACTAGTGTCGGCAGAAAGACTATATTGATCTTTGATCTTGGTGGTGGTATTTTTGATGTCTCTCTTCTAACCATTAAAGAGGGTATCTTTGAAGTGAAAGCCACTGCTGGGGACACTCACCTTGAAGGTGAAGATTTTGATAACAAAATGGTGAACCACTTTGTTCAGGAGTTTAAGAGAAAGAATAAGAAGGAGTTACCATTGCACGGGGTGAGTTGAAACAAATTTTGTACGGGTTGCCATTGGAAACAAATTTTGTTCAAACTAGTTTCTTGTGGATGTGTTGCACGGTGTTGCATTACTGGTTATTTTGGATTGTGCATCATCATGATTTGTTGCTTCTATCTCAAAGTGTCATGGACTTGAAAGCTTCACAGCCAAGTGTCAATGGGAAAAAATATCAAGGAACCTTGTATAAGAGGATGAAGAAGAAAGAAATGAAGGTGAATAAGAAGAACAAAATAAAGCATCGCACTTCTGATTCAAGTCGAACGAAAGGAAGCATCGACACTTCCGATTGAAGGTGAATGGAAGGAGGCATCGACACTTCCGATTTAAGTCGAACGGAAGGAGGCATCAACACTTCCGATTCAAGTTAAATGGAAGGATGTATCGCACTTTCATTTCTAGTGTTTGTCTTTTCATCAAAAAGCGCATCAAGTGGCTGATGGTTTTACTACACCCTTGGCTACAGCAGCATTTGAAGTTTTTCGATAGAAGATTGGAGTTTAAAGATGTTTAAGGTTAGAAGAGCAGAAGAAGAAGAAGTAGAGGGAGGGAATGTTAGCATGATGTTAACATGATGAGTCAGCAACAATGTTGTTAGTACTGCAGCGTGTATGAGCTTAGACTGCATGGGATTATTAGTTGAATAGTTAGAAGCTTCTTAATGTTGTTAATGGCAGTTAAAGTTGTTAGGTTGTTAGCATGGTTAGTTGTGAAATCTGTTAAGACTTACATTAGTCATTAGGAGCTGTATATAAACAACAACATCCTTGTATTCTACATAGTTCTTTTACATAATCAATTCACAAGTGTTATACTTTCTTTACTGGATACTTGCTGCTCATCTCTTATTCATGCTCACCTTGTCATTGATGGCCCCTTTCTCACAAGAAAAATAACATCTGATGTTATCTTGTTATCGTTATGCAGTGAAGACTCTCTTTTAGTTGCGTAATCTTGTTTTCTTCTCTTTTCAAGCTCAACTAACTAGAAGTATGAGGAGACTAGAGTCCAAAAAGCCACATTCATAGTGGTGGGATAGCCACATCAGCCCCAAGAACTCATAATGGCTTGCAGAAAATCTTGAGGGTAAGCAAGTATAAGTTCACCCTCAGCGCGTCCGTCCTTGGTTAAAAAATGGATTTTCTCCCGTGTTTCCTAGTTGGTGATTTCTTTTCTTTCTTGTATGTGCATATTTGAGCTAAATGTTCTAATGGTGACAATGATCTTCCTATCAGTAGAATGATGATGTTGTTTATGTTCTTCATGATGCAATTATTAATACAAGATAAATGGCGTGGTAGTATAATATTAGCAATCTACTGCTTTCTCCGTGCCCTCGTACAGGATTTTGTTTTTGATTTAATTTGAATTGCTTGTATGTCAAGAAAGAGAAAATAATGGTAAGATTGGTGACACAGAAATGGATCGTAGAGTCAAAAAGATGCTTAAGCTGATTGAAGAAGATGCAGACTCCTTCCCCAAAAAGGCTGAGATGTATTATAAGAAGAGGCCGGAACTTATAGCTCAAGTTGAGGAGTTTACCGCATGTATCGTTCTTTGGCCGAGCGTTATGATCATCTGACAGCGGAATTGAGGGAGAACATGCCGTCGGACATTGGCTCTGATCTTTCCCCTAGATGTTCCTCTCCGGATCAAAGGCTGAGTCGTCGTAAATCCAGCCTACGTGCTGCTGGTTTCGATGTCTTCCTTGCTTCTGGTGAGAAAAGCTCTGTTGCGCACACAAAAGGAGATAAGTCATCTTCTTCAACAGATTCTGAACCGGAATCCGATGATTACTCGGTTTTATCAGGGAATAAGGGAGATCAAGGGGTGAGTGGGAAAATGGCTGAACTGGAGATTGATCTCGATGAAATGAAAGAGAAGCTACGGATGCTACAAGAAGAGAGTATTGAAAGGGGAGCAAGACATGATAATTCGGATTTTCTTGCTAAAATTTTAGAGTACAAAGAAAAAATGAAAATGGCTAATGAACGGATAGAAGAGTACAAACCACTCAGAACAACTGGCGCAGAATCATGGATAGAAGAAAGTGTGAAGATGGACAGAGAAAATGAAATGTAGTTAGCAAGATGCAGGCATTGTTGGAAGAAAATGCTAGTTTGAAGCTTGAGAAGAAAGATCTGCAGAGTCATCTCGATTCAACTCGAAGCGAAATTGTGGGGTTGAAACTGGAGCTTGCTAAGAGAAGCAATTAAATCAAAGTTCTAAACGAAGGCCTTGAGACTTCGAAATCGGAGAGATTCGCTTAAGAGCGAGATGTATTCACTCAAGGCCAGTGTTAGTTCCAGGGAAGTTCGGATTGTTCAAATGGACATGCATCTTCACCAATTACATATGGAACATGTGAAGCTAATTGCTAAAGCTGAAGCATCCCAAAGATTGGAGGAGGAATTGCTATCCAAAGTTAAAAAACTAGAGGATGAGATCAAGAGGCAAAGAGTCGCAATACTCGACGGAACGGAAACGAAACGAGAAGCTATAAGGCGGCTTTGCTTCACCCTTGAGCACTACAGAAACGGGTATCATATGCTCCGGCAAGCATTTATCAGCAACAACAGAGTCCGGTTTCAACAAGGTGAATAACATGCAATGCTATAATGAAAAGGATTTGAAGTTTCTTCATGTTTTGGTGTACATTTGATTTTGAATAGTTTTCCCAGTGAGCTTAATGCAGACATATCAGTTAAATCATCATCATAAGTAATGAGGGATTGGTGCTGCCATGGTTTGGGTTTAAATCTTGCATTTAAAGTAAGATATTTATAGATATGTCATAATCTGATGTATAATGAAAGTATTCTTACAATGGCAATATACCAATAAGAGTGTGTACATGCAGAACTCATTACTTACATTTTAAACAAGTCTTTGCAGCTTCATTAATAACTTCAGAACTCATACTGTGCTAAAATTTCGATTTAATATATAATTTAGTTTGGTATAGTTTGGTCAAATGTTATATAGTAACATCTTTGTATTGTGGGTTGTTAATGAACCTTTTCTCTGCATGATCTTCTCCCTAGAGAGTTGAGTATAGGGATGGGTATTTTGTCCTGACTCGACCCAATCGGTTTTATATTTTGAATATTTTAATTTGGGCTGAATCAAGTTTTTTTAAGGATGTGATCAGGTCGGGTTCGAATTTAAGATGAAAAAAACTCAATTCAACCCGACATAATATCATAAACATCTTTAGTATATTTAGAGGCAATTTCAATAATATTTTTTATTTTATATTTTTTGAATTAGATTGTTAGTTTACTTAATAAAAATGAATTTTATATTTAGATCAGATCAAGTCCCACGGTGGACAATTCATAATTCTGACTGCCGGAGGTCTCCCACGGAAGCCGCTCTCAACTTGGCGTTGGGGGCAGCCTACTATCCTACCTCCCCCTTACCCTATTACACATGAGAATAGGATCAGCTAATTTTTTTATCAAGTACGAATTTTAACCTAAAAAATCGGATCGAATTTCAACCTAAAAAATCAGATCGAATTTCGAGTGGGATAATATCTTCCTAAACCCTTGGTCATATTGGATATGGATGAAAAGATTTATTAATCAAGTTAAATTCAAGTGAGCCAAAAAGTCGACGCCACCTATGAACATCCCCGTTTGAGCAATATTCCCTTGTCATTAGGGAACATAAAGACGGTGATGGAAGCATGGACCCTGTGGATGCTTAGGGTATCCCTTGAAACCGGTCACCCTTAATGCAGAGAAACCCCCCGCCCCACCACACACACAGTATGAGGTCCTTTGACATATAATAATTGCATGCCTCCAGGGTGGGCTTCTTTATATAAATTAATCCCAAAGTCCTTACAATCTTACACAAGAATAAAGAGTTAATCTTTATATTCTATATTTTCATTATTTCTCCTCACCCTACCATCGGTAATGATTACCCTCCATATTTTATTTCAACATCATACAGACGGTCTAATTCTGATTTCAGTCCCTATACTATGCTAAACTTTAGATTTAATATTTATATTCTATATTTTCATAATTCGATCCCTTTATGAGTTGTCGCCGTCAAATCGATTTTGATATTTTTTTTCAATTATTTAATCACGTAATCAGGCTACATGTAGTAAATCAACATGTCAAAGTAAAATAAAGGGATCAAATTCTGAGTTCCAGCACATTAGAGGGGCTAAAATAAGAGATGGATCAGAGGACAAAGCAACTTTTGTTTCAAACTATCTAAGTAAAAACCAGAGGAAGGTAGGATCTATAAAGAATAAATCCTGATAGACCCAACTTCTGTTTTTCTTTTTCTAGAAGAAATAGAGATGCAAGTAAATATGTAAAAAGAGGGAAGACAACTTATTCCGGTAAGCTGTAATAATAAATTCTCTATTATTTTCACCCTTTAATTTTGCAGTGTCAACATCCTTCACCGTCCTTCATTGATATGCACACTTTTCTTTTTACCTTGATTCTCAAGCAAACTCCACCCAATTGCAATGCAATATGAACATAGGAACATAGGGTTTGATGGGAAAGCCCTTGAAACGGAAGTTGGACACTTGCAATCACTCATATATCAGGAGATTACTATTTAAAACATTCAATAGTAAAAAAAATCTGTAATTTTTGTATAGGGATTAAATCTGCATAAAATGAAAAGTACAGGGACATTTTACACAAAAAAGCTTAAACAATGAATTAAACAAGAGGATCCTAAAGGTAACATTTGACCAGAACTGAATGTTGTTCTCTATATAACACATCAGCCTTAGCTAAGCAGCTTGCTTCAAAAGTAAAGAGCGTTGAATAGTTATATAAAAGGTTAAGAAGATCATAGCAAAATAATCTATAATAATCTATGATCAAACTATTCTTCATCTCATCATCCTTTTGATGAAAGCTGAGGAAACAAAGATCCTCGAAGCCGAAGTATCGTCGTTTAAGGCCAACCCCAAAGAGTCATTCAATTCAGAGTTCAAAAGGATGCAAGCGTTGCAAGACAGGCGAGCATGTATGAACTGAGTTACTTGATACAAAACTCAGATATTTGGAATCAATAGTATGAATTAACCGCATGATGAAAAAACTTCAGGTTGGAGCGAAGTGTGAATAACATAGAAAGGATGAGAGAAAGCAGTAGCAAAAGATACAGAGATTTGCAGATCCCGTGGGAATGGATGTTGGAAACTGGTTTGATTGGTCAGGTAGGTAGATCTTAACGCTATTCTTCTAAAAAATGAGCAACATTTTCCCCATTTTCACATTACCTATATTCAACCATCAAATGCATTTGAAGGGATCATCAACCTAAAGAAACTAGACAAATGTGAAGATGGGGTCAAATTATGGTTTTAGTCCCTGTCCTGCACTTTTATTCGAAAATATTCCATGATTTTTGTTGCAGATGAAATTCAGCTCACTGAGGCTAGCGAGGGAATACATGAAAAGAACGACCAAATAAGTGCAATCCAAGGAATGCGAATGTCCACAAGAAAACAATCTGTTGCTTCAAGGAGTTAGATTTGCGTACAGAGTTCACCAGGTAATAACCTCAAAAAAATGAATCAAATTCACCTTTTGTTTTGCTTTGAAAAATGCTAACCTTTTGAAGATTTCAGTTCGCAGGTGGTTTTGATGCAGAGACTATTCGTGCATTCGAGGAATTGAAGAAGATAAGCAATAGCCTAATGCATTATTTTCTTAAAGACGTATGTATGGATTAATAAATATTTGTGTGTCAACTTTCAACTGACTATTTTTATACAAGGACATTTAACATCAAAATCGTCGGCTAAATTAATAAAAATTAGAATAATAATATTGTATACAGGGAACCTTTAAGAGATGGGATTATTGAGGTTACTTATGTTTTGGGTTTAAGATTGTTTTGTATTATGGCCTGAATTTCATTAAGTTTTATTGTCTTTAGGTCTCTTATAATTGGATGAAGTTTTGACACGTTTATGTTCTATTGACTATTATTGAATATATGATTGTTTATACTAGCTTAACGGTTGAGCACTGATTTTTCGTGGGGAGAAGTCTTAATTTTGAGTGCTAGATTTAATTAAATTATCTTCTTTTGTGGTGGTAATGGAATATAAGTTAAATATGTTTTGTGGTGACAAGGTAACAATTATCTTGTTTAGCCAGGTGGCCAAGCACATTTAATGTGATAATTGGACGTGTCATCACCCTATAGGTTGAATAGAAAGAATAAAAACAATATTTGATTGCTGACGTGGAAGTTTAAAAATTAAAAATTTCGTAGCATCTCATGTTAGCTTTGTGGTTTTTCAGCAGGGTATTAAAATGTAACAAAAACTAAATGTTAAGTATGATTTTATAAAAATTAAAAGTTTAGATACTAAAATATATCAAATATAAAACTTTAGATACTAAATGCGTAAATTACTCTTTAAAAAATAGAGTTTGAATACCTAATGAGAACAAAAGTAAGAGTTTGAATACCTAATGAGAACAAAAGTAATAGTTTAAATACCTTGTGTAGTTTACCTAAAAGTCTAAACTGCATAATAGCAAGGCAAGGGCAATAACACCCCAGCGATGCAACTGATCAAAACTATTTATTTTTATTCAGTTCAAAAATAATTTATTTATTCGTTTATGGCTTGAAGAGGCAATATACAGTCGCCATCATTTTTAGATCAAAATTATTTATATTCACTCACAATTATGAGTTGACACATGTCATTCCTCGAACAGACGTACACGTGTTATACGAATAAAGGGAGATTAAGATATATAACTTAGAAGCAATGTCGTATCTAAGCAAAAAGATATATGGCCCCCAAATCCAACCCCTCCCAAATGGCCTTTCTTTATTAAATCCAAAAGTAAAAAAAAAGCTAAAAAAGAAAGACAAAATTATCTATGGACCCTCACATTTTCTTTTTTAAAAATATATATTTTCTGTCGATTCAATCTTATTATCCACCCAAAGAAAAAAGAAAGAAATAAAAAAGAATATACTTCAGTATTTACTCAACCATGGAAGTGAAAAGAAAGAAAGAAAAAAAAATATACTTCAGTATTTACTCAACCATGGAAACAGGTGAACCTAAAATTTGAAGTACTACAATCTATTAAATTTCAAGTATTTAATTGTTGTTATGTAGAAGAGCGGAAAAAGAGGCTACGGGGGAGGAAGATTGGATGGGGATGAGTGCATCGAGAAATGTCGATAGAGGGTTGCATGGAGGCGAAGAAAGAGATGAGAGCCTTGACCAAGCCAGTGGTCAAGTTTACGTTTCGTTGTGTTGGATATCTCCTTAATTGGAGAGGTTCTAGAAAATTCTAGAGCTTTTAGGAGAAGTGTAGAATTTTCTAGAATATTCCAGAGAACTCTATGAGTGTAGAACTCTTAGAAGCTTGTGAAAGAGTGTGGAATCCTCTGGAATATTTGGAGATGTGTGGAACCTTATGAAGAGTATGGAAGAATATGGAAGGAAGTGGAAGAGTGTAGAGCTTCCTAGAGTGTGTGGAGCATTCTAGATAATTAATCTCCACCCTTGGATGTAAGTAATCTCTAGCATTCATTATGGAGGTAGAGTAGTATAAATAGGGGTGAGAGACTTCATTCCTAACCATCCAAAATCCCAAGAAATCCAAAAATACTAAGAGAGTCCACTTCTTAGAGTGAGAAACTAGATAGTTAGAGAGTCTCTTTGAGAGAGAAGAGAGATAGCTTGGGAAGTCACCAGGTGTGAGTTAAATTTTGTGAATACATCCTTGTAATCCTACTATTCTTTTGTATAGTAGAAGAATCTCCAAATTAGAGAATTATACTCTTGTGCTCTCTTTACTATCCTTAATCTCTAAGTACCTATCTTAACTTCACAAAGCAGGAATGACTGTGATTCCCAACAGTGGTATCAGACCAAGTTGATCCGTAGCCGTAATTAGCTCGTGCAGTTCAAGATAGAGGATAACGTTGCTCATGATGTAGACATGTTCAAGCTTACAACTAATAACTACTCATATTGGAAGCCGATGATGAGGACCACCTATACTGCAAGGATTTGCATGAGCCCATCATCTACAAAGACAAAGTAGAAGGCAAGAGTGATGCTCAATGGGAGCTATTAAATCAGAAGGTCGTTGCTATGATCCGTAAGTACATTGATAAAACCCTCTTTGAGCATATTTCTACTTATACAAATACTTATGAATTATGGACAAAGCTTGAGTCCACGATTCAAAAGAAAAAACCTCGTAACAAAGCTAATTTAGTTCGATGATTGGTGAAATTGGAGTATAAGGATGGTCAAAGTATGATTGAGCACCTAAATAATTTCAAGGGGCTCGTAAATCAATTAACAAAAATCGAGATGAAAATTGATGATGAGTTGCAAGCCCTTCTACTCCTTAGTTCTTTACCGGAAAGTTGGGATACACTCGTTTGTTCTTATAAGCACCTTTGTTCTTATTATTCAAAGGTGAAGTGTGTCAATATACTGACCTTTGAATTGTTTGCAAATAATGTTTTACATTCAAACTTTTGAGGTTCAATTCATCTTCCACATTAATGTAGGCTTGAACCTGTAATTATTGAGCTCGAACGACAAAGAGCACCAGTTGTAGTGATATCTCACCAGGTTAAATTTAACGGCAAAATCTTGTGTTTATATGAAATCACATGTTCTGATTAATAATCTTGAATGCTTTATTTAATCTTTCATTTTCAGGCTGTGTTGAGAGCATTATATGCTTATTTTGTTGATAGACCCCTCAAGGAAATTCCTCACATTGAGGTAACTAATAGATAAGTTGAAATTGTTGTCTCGACTTATTTGTTCTTTTGGGTGGCATTAATCTATTGCTTCTCTCTATGCTTTCTGCATGTGAGTAGCTTAAGTCTTTGAAATGGAGAAAGATATGATGCCCATTCTCTCTCCTTTTACGATCGACAGATAGAACATTATCTCTGATCCACGAAGTGGAAAGAAATTTATATGCAAATTTTACAAAATTATGGCTTAGCCTCTCTACTTTGACCTTTTAGAACCTATGTTACTTGGACTTAGATGTGAATGTTGATACATATGGACCTAACATTCGTATGAAACACATTTGAAAGTTCCATTTATTTGGGTGTCTTTGGAGGTTCATGTCTCCAAATGCATTTTTTAATATGCTTTGGATATGAGTAGACTTGTTAACTGTGACTTGAACCTGAAAACCCAACCTGATTAACCTGAATCCAAACCCAACCCAACTCAGTTGTAACCTAAACCCTAAATTGACCCTAAACTTGAAAATTTTAAAACCAAATTATTCCGAGTCAGACCCAATTAACAAGAAAAATATATGGGTACTACAAGAAAAAACAGTGTGTGAAAGTTGTTTAACAAGACATGTGTAGTCTTTGGATAATAGAATAAAAAAGGTACAAATGAAAACATTTTTTTCTTAGTTCTTACCTTTGATATGGTTCCAAATTGCAGGTGCCACTTCATACTATCATAGAAATACAAAAGGGAGTAACAGGCGTTCAAGAGAAAAGATATAAACTAATGGATTGGCCACACCTCAAGAGATTTGGTTTTCTTGATAATGGAACTTGTCCAAAAAACATTGAGATGAATTTTTCATTGATTGTATTTCAATTCTTTGTCAAAAATATAATATTAGTAATAATCTAACTGTTGTAACAATAATAGTTATATTACAAATAAAATATGTAAGTTTTGCTCCAACAATTTCTAGTTTCCAATCTTGTATTATGTGGAGCAGGGTCTCTAACAATAATCTAAGGCAAAAATTGGTTAGATAATGTTTTGGGAAAAATTGCTTTCATGTAAGGTGTTAGACTATTATTTTCTCATCTAAGGTGAATGTTATAGTACTCCATGGAAGATGTCAAGAAGATACAATGACTTCTGGAAGACGCTAAGACTCTTAAAAGATATGACATCTTCAGTGTATTATGGGAAGATGCGGCTTTATGGTCATGAATGGAGCTGGGAGAAGATGATGTGCCATTTGAGCGTCATCTAAAAGTTGTATGCTTCTTCCATAGAACCTTATACCATTCATCTTAGATGAGAAAATAATCATCTACCGTTTTATAAGGGAAAATCAACCAAATTTACCCTATAACAGGGGTTCTAATATGTGATGGGATTGGAAAAACGGGTAGATTTCCGTGGGAAGGGGTGAGGAAGTTACGAGGCTGGCCACTCCTAGTGGCACAAAGATAAGTTTTCAGAAAACACGCAGTCAAAAAAGGTGCAATTTAAGGAGTCAAAAAGGAACCCCAGTCTGGTTGGATTCACATGGATCCCCCCAAATGAATTGAGCCCTCAGTTCGTAAAGGGAAATGTCACAAAGAAATGGTCTGTCTTGGGGTTCCCTAAAACAATCACATGAAGAATCCTATAACCCATCTCCTCAACCGGCGTCGCCTTCACGAGTCCTTCATTTCCAAACCCCCCCTTTTTTTTTCTCTCATTTCCTCCTCGGATTGTGGGATTCTCTTTTGACTTGAATACACACATTACATGAAGATTATCATATTTAAAGAGCAGAATTCCATGATTTAATCACCCATCCCAACAAACAACTTGACTTTCACGTAAACATCTCCTACACAAGATTCCAATTCCATTGATTTTTTATTCTTCTTCCTCGGTCATTAGTGACCATATATAATAATAACCCCCATTTCCATCTCCATGTCCGTCACTTCAACATCATCTTCACTGCTTGCAATAATTCAACTTTGCACAGTTTCATCTTCAACAGAAAAAAAAATGTCAGTCTCCATTGACCCATCAGAGCAGAACTCGAACCCAATTTCTCATCTCCTCAGCTCGATTTCTTCCTATGATGGCAACGTACTGCTAGCCGCCATCAGCTCTCTGCTTCTCGTAATCCTCTTCGTTTTGCTTCTCCACGTTTACGCCAAATGGTTCTTGGCTCAAGCTCGCCACAGAAGTCGATCTTCTTCCCCATCTCACATCTTTCACCCCGATCGCCTCCGCCATTTCCACGCCTTCACCGCCACTTTCCCCACCACCCCATCAAAGGGTCTCGATTCCTCCGTCATCTCATCGATCCCATTGTTTGTTTTCAACATGGAAGAACACAACAAGCTTGGGTTAGAGTGTGTGATCTGTTTAAGTCTGTTCGAGGATAACGAAGTTGGAAGGAACTTACCCAAGTGTGGCCATGGTTTCCACGTCGAATGCATTGATATGTGGCTCAACTCTCACTCAAATTGTCCCCTTTGCAGAGCTCATGTGATGGGTCCTGATCATACGGATTCTCAAGCGAGTTCGTTGGAGAGTGGGGGGGGGGGATATTGAATGGTGAGAATCTTAGTGATTCATCCGATTCTGGTGATGCCGCCATTGATGATAATGATCATCTTTCAGCTTCAGCATCGTCTTCTTCTTTGACACACTCTTTGAAGAGAATGCTGAGTAGGAACAGATCAGAGCGCAAGTTTTTCCCTCATCAATCCCACCCAGTGAGGTTCAAGTTTGAGAAATTATGAGAAGAATGATTTTTCATGTTTATGTTCGTAAATCCCATCACTTTTTTGTATACATCTTGGAAACTTGTTTATCATCTCTCTCCTACTACTCATTGATCCGGGTGATTAAGGCTTCATAATTTTCTCTTATTTCAATCTTCATTTTTTATTAGGTTTTAATCATTTGATGATACAATTCCCGACTCTGTAAATTTATGTGCAAGCAGTACTTTTAGCTATAAATTATAACTCTAATATCTAAACTCAAAAAATAAGCCAACATTTAAAACAACTAGAATAGAAAATGATTGAAACTTAAAATAGGTAATGATTTGATTTAAAAATTATTACTCGAATGGATTCATTTCTAATTTAAACTGTAAAAAAAATGTGGGTCTGAAAAGTGTAAATGCAAAAGGGGACATTTTGAGTTGGAGGACAAAAAAAGTCTTGCCCTGTTATGAATCAATCATGTGACATAATGGTCAAGCAATTGCTGCGCATATTTATTAGAAAATCCAGATCAACCGTTGGATTTGGTCCACCTCAGGCCCATTGAATTCACTTCATTTTCCTCTGTTTTGCCACTTGAAAAACAACGAAAGCTCTTTTTTTTCACAGTATGATCTCTTATGGCAGCAAGTAGGGTGTAAACGAGACGAGTCGAGTTCGAATATTGTGAGGTCGATTTGAACTCGAAAACTTTAAACGTAGGCTCGACTCGACTCGAAAACTCACGAGCTAAAAGTTATGAAGCTCAACTCGAACTCAAAATATATTATTGAAACTTGACTCGAACTCGAAAAAGCTCGAACTCAAGTATTGCTGAGGTCGACTTGAACTCGAAAACTTTAAACGTAGGCTCGACTCGACTCGAAAACTCACGAGCTAAAAGTTATGAAGCTCAGCTCGAACTCAAAATATATTATTGAAACTTGACTCGAACTCGAAAAAGCTCGAACTCAAAAAAATTCAGGAGCTCGATTGAAGCTTGAGACTCGAGCTCGATTGAAGCTTGAGACTCGAGCTCGATTGAAGCTCGATTTTGAGCTCGATTGAAGCTCGATTTTGATCTCGATTGAAGCTCGAATTTGAAACTACAAAAATCTTATATTACATTTAGAATATATAAATAATTTTTCCTTTAATCAACCATCACTAATACATTTAATATGAATGTATGAACTATAAAAAAATCTAAAAACTAAAAATACAATTACAAGAAATTTAGGATAATTAATATAAACTTCGAAGTTTTTAAAACTTCAAATGTATTGAAAGTTTACAAAATATAAACACATCTAAATTTATAAAAAGATGACAAATATGACAACATATCCAAATTTATACAAGATGACACTATTTTCTTTACAAAAGATAACAATATCATGAGAGATGCATGTTAAGTTTACTTAAAAAAAATAATACAAAAAGGATGCTCATGCATTATGATCCAATGACCCATAGCCTCTCTCATCTTCAGCATGTCAATTTTACCATCATGTAAAGCACTAATAAATCCAGATTGATTCGTATCGATGCTTGAATTAGACGGTAATAAATTAATCAACTGTTGTTGCTTAAAGAATATTGACTTCTTCATGCAAATATCCAAATGTCGTTTCAAATGAGAAGTGCTCTTAGAATTCAAGATAGAAAGAGGATGTTTGCAATACTTACACCTTACTTTACATTGTTCGTTTATGATTTCAGGTTCTAAGAAATCATCCCACACCTTTGATTTTCTTGGTGTCTTAAAGGCTTGGAAAGGATTTCCAACCTCAACTTCTTTTGTTGTGCTGTCAACAATAGGTTCAGAAGCTTCTATATTGCACTCTTCTTCATTTGAACATTATCTTTGTTATGTTCATCATCAACATTCACAAAAAACTCTTCAACTCTTGAAACACTAATGGGTGTTGAAGAACTTTGTGGTTCACTAGACATATATGAAAATACAAATGACAATATAAATAAAAAATTAAAGGAATATTTATTTAAAGATAAATGAACTCATAAACAAACTCACCAGAGGGGAACAATATTGTTCGGTCGTGGGAGGGATACGTGAGCAACGAGGAACCTGTAATGGTCAGTTTTTAAGTGACAATTAACCACTGGGGAAAAGGAATCACGTACAAAAAAAGAGAGGAATGAGCTGAGGGACAACAACAATTAACCGAGAAAACAAAAACAGAAAAAACCGTCCCCATTGATTCTTTTTACAGAGAATAGTAAAATATAAGAAAGGAATTGTACTTTATTTTCCTGCTATTTGAGGATCAAAAGAAACAGAGAAGCATTTTTTTATCGAACCCAAGCAATACACATAATCAAAAGGGTATTTTTTTAGTTTCTATTCTCCATTGCTTTCTTAATTTTCTTGTGTGTGCATATGTTTTGAAACTAAACCAAGTCAAAGGCATAAAGGAGATAGCTTAAACGTTTACCTGAGTTGTAGTTCATCCCGCTTTGCCTCCTAGCCGTTCAAGCCTCACTGTAAAAATAAGGGTCGTATTAGTCAAAAATAAGTTCATTATAAAATAAGAAGAGGTGGGTCTTGATAATTTACCGTGCTGTGTGTTGGAGTGTAGAGTCGAACTCATCGACCTTAGAAGTTGGGGGTCGTTGCATGTAGTCTTGGTGTTTGGGGGTTTTAAAATAGTGAAGATAAGAGAGTTTAGGGTTGGGTTAGGCTCATGTTTGGGTTAACCAGTCGTTGCTAATGGCGATCGGAGTGATTGGTTCTAAGTTTTCACGGCGGCGTTGCTAGTAACGGGGAGAGGGTTCTGTTTTCATTGTGGTTGTGGGTTTTAAGAGGGCCTCGACTAAGGTTGTTTGAGGGTAAAAGAAGAAAGCCAAACCTATTTTAATGTTAAATGTAGACATTTACCTGGTTATCGGGGTTTGGTGGTCGAAGTGTAGAACTCCGTTGAAGAAAGGCGAGCGGAGCGGCACTATTTTCTGGTTATGGATAGTGCGTGAGAATGAGAGGGGGAGAGTTGGAGAAGGTGAGGCTTGAGCGGCTGAATATTTAGTTTAGGTTTAGGTTTGTTTTAATTTAGGTTTAGCTTAAATCGAATAGATCAATTGCATATAAGACCCTGTAGTTTTGCGCATTTTGTATTTAATTTATTGGTTTAATTCCAATTTTTTAAGTTTAATTTTACATTTACGTGAATTTAATCATCATTCTAAAGTTAGTATATTTAGCTTAAATTA